GTGTAGAATCAGAGGAAACAGAAGAATATATCTCCCCAAGAGGAGTTTTGTGAGTCCCAAATCCCAAGAGGCATCACTCACTCCGGTTTGGAGCATCATTTCCTGGGTGCAGTCCTCTCTCTCTCTATCTCTCTCTCTCTCTGTCTCTCCTTCTATTATATCTGGCAAACCTCACGTTATGCTGACTCTTGGGTGGGGAGCATCAGAGCATGCAGATGCACCTGTTGCTCACGTGAAACGCACACTCACCGCCAACACTCAGTTGCATTCGTCAGTCGTCAGTCGTCTGTGGGGCTAAAGTTCAATGGGTCGGAGTACGTGCCGTTTGCCGCTAACCATTGATGAGCACTCCTTCAATGAATGGGATCGTATCGGATTGGATACGGTTCCAGTGCGTTCTGATTCCGTTTATCTGGGGTTGTGGAGCCAAAGCGTGGCTAGGACGTGCCGTCGCGACTGTGTGGGATTGGGGTTGGGGTTGGGAGTTGGCAACAGCCCCACAATTGGTTACGCCAGCTGCAGACGATGGCGTCTCTGGGTGGGGGGGTTGTTCTCTGTTCTCTGTTACCATTTCCATTTCGCTTGCCTGAGCTGGAAAATTGGTAATGAAATTGGCAACACTTTTACTACGCTCCACACGAGCCAGCCGGGCCCGCATTAGACGGGCTTCGATTGGCTCCATTGACGTATTGCATTGCCTTCTCCGTTACCCGTTCTCCGTTCCCCCTCAGTCTCGCCTGTCTCCACCAGTCCACACCACCTCTCTGTCTCTCTCTCTGTCTCTCTCTCTCTCTCTGTCTTCCCCCTTGTGTAATTGGCGACATTGCACAAATCACACAAATGCTTTCAATTACATGGCGACGCCAAACAAACACAAAAACTGCAAAGAGCAAGAGCAACAAAAAGCAAAAACCAGCAACAAAAACGAGCGGGCAAGCGCCTGTTTAAACATAAAACCTCTAAACAACAAAAAATTGGATGATGAGGTGGTGCCAGCAGCGAGGAAGCAAGAGAATGGAATGGGGAGGGGGGCTGGCTTGGCTGCTGTACTTGGCTCTCGGCTCGACTTTATTTTGCTTTACTTTATATATATACCCTGCCCAGAAGGTATAAACATTTGAATTAAATGTTTGCCAAGCAGAGCAGTGCTGCCATAGAGCGGGAAGTATTTCCGTTTGTCAAATTAGATAGCGAAGATTGGGCAAAGGCAATCAATATCTCAACTAGCTTACACCTAATATATGTATACATATATATATTTATGTATGTTTGTGTGTATGAACCATAAGGGTATCCCAGTTTACGGCGACTCCAGAAGCTAGACTTCTTTCTTGTTAATTTGTTGACATATTAAAACCAGATTTGCAATCAACTCGGCCAGCGGGGAAGTGCCGGGTGGTGGTGGTGGGGGGGCAATGTTGCTGGTACACCGGAGAACGGTGAATGGCTGGCCTGGCGGAGAGTGGTGGTGCCAAAGAGGGTGGGGGTGGGGGATTGGGGGATTCGTGGTTACGGGCATGACTCACGAGCCGGCGCGAGAAATAATATAAATAATGAGAAACGCCTGCGACGACGACGACGGCGACGATGATGGAAAAATAAATATGTAAAAAAAAACTACAAAAAGCAACAGAAGCGGCAGCAACAACAACAATAACCACAACAACAACAACAACAACAAGAACTTGTTTGCATAAGCAAGAAATTTGTGTGTTGCTTTTGTTGCTATTGCTATTTGTAGTGCAATGCATGCCATATGTGTGTGTGTGTGTGTGTGTGTGTGTGGTGTGTGTGTGGTGTGTGGCGTGTGTGTGTGCATTTACTCTCGTAACTCTCGTGTTCGTGTTCTCTTATTTTCCCCTACGAAAACTTCTCTGTACGATTGTGTTCTACATATATGTATTCTCTGTGCTGTCATAATAGGACCCAATCTTCTTTTGGGGGAGGCTGCATCATCTGTTCAAGGGCTTGAACCAGGTTCCGGGTTTATCCACTGTAATACTGGATATTTCGAAATTCGAGAAATACAAATGTAGGTGGGAGAAGTAAAGATTTGCTTATCAGCGATTGAATTGATCCGTTTTCCTTATAGATTCAGGTAATTCGATTTTTCTGGAAATATCTACAATCACAAACATATTTCTCTGTTCTGTGTAATTTATTTGAGGTATAGGTGTGGGGGGGGGGACAAATAGTGTGCAGTTTTTCACAGATTGATATTCTCTTTGCTAACCGTTTTTCTGGGATCTCTTTTAGTAGGAAGGTATAAAGTATGATATACTCCATACTATACTCATTATGGCCAGTGGATTGGGATTTATCGGAGTTGGTTCTCAGAGGGTGTCGTACACAATTCTCAGAGATCATAGAGGGAATTTTAATCCCAACGAATGTGGAGGATACAGTTTCTTAGTACATAATGTACATACATATAGTGGACTAACTGAATGGCTTTTTGGATGGTGAGAATAGTTAGAGAAAATGAATGAAGCTGGAAGGAAGCTTTTCAAGGATTTATTTGCCTTTTCCTAGGATCCTATGATCACCATTACACCTTTTTGGGATCGCTGGCATTCAACTTGTTACGCATTCCCTTCCCTTGAAGCGTACCCTTGCTCCTAGAACCGTGACCCCAAAAGAGGATGCAGGGGACAATCAGAACTCTCCCCCTGAGTGATCCATTAAACACCCCTGCAAGCAGATTGCCCTTCAATCGCGCTGTGGCCACTACTTGTCTTCCCCCTTTATCGCCAATTAGCCGAGTCGGACATGAAATTATTAAAAAGCTCCAAGCTCCCACCAAGCAGAGCAAGAGGCAGCGGCAGCGGCAGTGGCAGTGGCAGCGACTGTGCCAGAAGCAAAAGCAGAACAAATAAATAATGCAAAGCAGAAGAAGAAGCAGAAGCCGAAGCGGCGAAGGTGGGACAGAGGAGATGAGCGAGCGGCAGCGCAGAATACGAGAAGAGGGAGAGCCTCAAAAAGAAAGCTCCGACGTTGTCGTTGTCGTTGTCATCGTCGTCGTTGCGTTGCGTTGCTGCTGTCGATCCCCCAACACAGCCGCCAGCAGTGTCTGGCCAAGCGGGGGGGTAGGGCGAGGAGCAGAGATGTCCGACGACCGGAAATGTGCAATAAAATTTGAATGTTTCTTTATTATTATCATCCCCATCATCATCCGCCGCAGCGCAGCAGCAGCAGCAGCAGCCCAAGTCCATTCCGAATCCCAATCCCAATCCGAAGCAGCCTCTGCCTCACTCTCCTGCCTCACTTTTATGTTTTTCATTTGGTTTGCAGTCTCCACTCCATGCTCCACTCTCCAAAGACCAGTTTATTCCTCTTGCTCTGTCGGTGCCCCTGTCGTCTCTTTCCTTTTTGTTTTTGCTTGTGTTGCTGGTTGTGGGTTCCTCTCGTGACGCAGGCGCAGAAATAATAAATTGCAGCCTCGCGGTGACGTTGCCAAAAACAGGACAACGTTCCCGCCTCCGCCACCGCCACCGCCAACGATCCACCACTACCACCAACGCCATAACATAAGCAACTCCATCTCCATCGCCGCCGCCTCCATGCAACCTTCCATCTATCCCCATCCATCGCCATTCATTCATTCATTCATGCGTTTGTCCGACTCTGGGTCCAACCAGGCACTCAGGCTCTCGGCCTCTCAGCCTCTCAGCCTCTCCGCTGTGCCGCCGCTGCTCGAAATGTGCAGAAGTCGCCCGACTGGTTTGCCCCTTCGATTTTGGATGCTGCCGCCGCCCGACGATGGGGAAGAAACTGGGTTCTGGGGCGCTGGAGCGGTGGAGCGGTGGAGCAGTGGAGCAGTGCAGCCTGGAGCCACCAGCTTTATTTATAAACTTTGTTTCCTGTACGAGGTGCTCTCGCACTCGCACTCGCAGCGAAGGGAAAGAGACGCGAGATTCAATCGCTGTCCCAGCTGTCAGGGTATCCAGCTCCAGCTCCAGCTTGGAGCTCCGCAGAACTAGTTCACCATCCCAGTTCCCGAGCAGCACAGCGCAGAGCGCAGCCCACGCACTGGGCTCCTCCGACTGCGACTCGGGCGACTTCCCACGCCAGAAACTCGGGCGATTCCCCCCATTCGCACGCCAAGCACGTTTCGGGCCAGAGATGGTGGCCTGCATTTTGCTCAGTGTACTCACACACACACACACACTAAGCGTAGACGAAACGGGTTTTCTTAACCAATTTTTTGTTGTTGTTGTTTGTATTTGTGACTGTGGAGTTTCGATTGTTGTTGCTTTTTATTTTTTAGCTGGCGACGTCTTCTTGTGCCTTTGTGCATAATTTTTGTGCCTGCCTGCCCACCTCCTGACCGCGCCTTCCGCCTGCTGCCGCCTGCTGCCCCCTCTCTGAGGAGAGCTTTTGGCAGAAGTTCATTCAAAAAAGCGAAAGACTTAGGCAACAAACTTGAACGTGACGGCAGGAGGAGGATGGAGCGCAGGGGGAGGGGAACTTTTGTAGAGTTTGCCTCGCCTTAACTCCATGTGATTCATTACGCCCACTCTCGACAACGGCGACCGCATAATCAAAACCCAAGACGATAGACACGTAAAACCACACAGAGGAGTGGACTGCCCATAGCCATACCCATAGCCCCCCAGTGCCAGTCCCCGTACCATACCCAGGCCCAAGCTCAGGCACAGACCCAGACTAAGATACGAGACAAAAGCCCAAATCGACCACAAAAGCCAAATCAAATTTATGGCCTTTAATTGAAATGCGATTTGTTGATGTTGCTGTTGCTCTGTGGCTCTGGCTCTGGCTGTGGCTGTGGCCCGCCATCGGGCATTATTTATTATGATATTATTATATTTGTTACTACTACTACTACTACTTCTACTACTATTATGTATTTCTGTGCCGACTCGAAAATGCCGAAAAACGATGGCAAAACGGGTTCTCCGGCATCCGGGGTCCGGCGTGCGGTCGGTCGGTCTCTGACTTCCCTTGACTGAGCTTCTTCCCATTGTTCTTTCTTTTTGCAGAGATGCGAGTGACGTCAAAGGAGCTGCCAACTACCAAATGGAGGCGCGATCGCCGCCAGCGTACCGCCGAGTACCAGGTTCACGATGCCGGCAGCAGCGACAGGGAGCGGGATCGGGATCGGGAGGAGCGTGATATGGACAGCCCCATTGACATGTCGGTGACGTCGGGGTCGGGCTCCGGCTCGGGGGCACTGAAGCTTCATCAGAATCGGGCCTCGCCGCCGCCACCCTACCGCGAGCCACTGCCGGGCACCAACTACGCTGCCAACAGCCGACCCAGCGTCATCACCCAGGCACCGCCAAAGCGGGAGGTGCCCGAGCCGGCCCACTCCTCAGGTAGGACACTGCTCTCTGCGCAGACGGCCCCGAACCCAACTGATTCATCTTTGATTGCAGAGAACGTGGCCATGTGCGACATTGATGAGCACTTCCGTCGCTCGCTGGGCAAGGACTACGCGGCTCTCTTTGCCAAGAAGTCGCCAACGCCCACACCCACGCCCACGCCCTCGCCCAGTGGAACGCCTATGCAGCAGATATCGCCTCTGGCCTATGGACCTGCACCGCCATCAGCAGGCGCTGGAGCAGGAACAGGAGCAGCAGCAGCAGCTGCTCCTCTTCTATACCAGCAACATCGCTCGCCACTGCATAAGCCAGGGCTGGCCATGATGCATTCGCCCACGCTGCGATCGGAGCCAGAGTCGCCGCAGCTGGAGTTGCCGCCGCCGCAGGAGGAACCGCTGCCGCTCTCACTGCATCGTTCACCGACTCCACCGTCGCCGTCACCGTTGCCGTCACAGCCACCACAATCAGCAACAACTGCTCCCAGCCAGGCACTGGACACATCGGTGACTGCCAAGCGAGCACTGGACACACTGCATCACACGCCGCCCAGGTACAACACTCCGCCACCGCCGCCAGCGTACGGCAGCGTCCCAGCCTCTACGCCAACGCCGACTCCAACACCGACCCCGACGCCAACTCCAACGCAGATTCCCACTGCCAGCAGCACCCCCACGATGCCGGCGATCATACGCGTGAAGGCCGAGCCGGGGCTGGCAGCTGTGGCCGCCTCCTCGACGCAGACGCCACCCGCCTCGCCCACCTCGTCCACGAACATTTCGATATTCACCAAGACTGAAGCCTCCGTCGACGATCACTTTGCCAAGGCGCTGGGCGAGACCTGGAAGAAGCTTCAGGGTGGCCACAAGGACTAGGGGCAAGGACGAGCAGCGACTACACACCGATCCCGATCCTCACCCAGATCCAACTCAAGAGCTGTTTTTTATTATAAATATTTCAAAACTACACAATTAACGTTTAAAGATCTCATGACATGACGATGTGAAAGGAAATTCTTCAACTGCGAGTGTATTACAATATGTTTCTGATAATGATTTTATTGAATATTGAATATTGATAGCGGTTATATACGGATATATAATGATACGGACGATGATATATGATTTACGATGATCCATGATCTATGATTTATGTGTATGGAAAACTGTGTATACGTACAAGCGACAAAATTTTGTATTCTTAATGCTTAGTTGGTAGAGACTAATCCTTAATAATATACACCTAATACAATTAAGTGAAAATCCTACAAATAATATATATATTATTGCTTACAAATCCAAATGTGAATGTTCTTGTTTATTTCTGTAAATACAGCGGAGGATCTAGACGCCAGTCATACTACAATATCGGAATTACGTCAAGGGTCCGCAGTGTGCAGTCCGAGCAGTATAGTCCCAGATAAATACGGTGTAAAGGTGGAGGCCTTTATTGCATTTGAATTTCATTTTTAATCAACCCGCCAGAAAACAGATGTATCCGTGGTGATGGGCATTTTTCGATAAAACGATTTGCAACAAAAATACGCTGCACACTTATGTCAGCTGCAGCAAAACAAAACAAAAAACGCCAGATGGCGCTGTGGCGTAACAGAGTGACCATTTACGGTATATTTTATACTTTTTGGTATATTATGAAATCGAAGTGAAAGCATATTTATCGTACATATTTTGGGTATTTTACGGTATATTTCAAGAACATGCTGAAATATAATGTTATCAAATCATAAATAACTGAAGGGATTGCTTATATTGCACGTTTCACACGTACCGTGTGAACGAATTTCCCTGGAGTAAATTCTATTGAAACCCACATACGAAATAGAGAGAGAGAAATAGGGGAAAAAACGGTTGTTGTCAAAATTTTGAACTGGAAAATGTAATGATTTGCAAAATGCCAAAGAATATGACATAAAAACAAAACTATTTGATATTATTAAGACCAAGCAAGAAGGGAATGCACTGAATGATCTCAAATAATGGACAATACGGTTCTGTTAATTTTTTATTAATATCGGATATTTTTGGTATATTCTGAAAATCAGAAGGTATATTTCGGAATATTTGTGAGGGTCAAACGGTATATTTTATCAATAAATCCGCGGTCACACTGTACAGTACATTTACATTGCAAAAAAAGCCTAAAACAAAGTTTTTAAACAATTAAAATTAAGCAATCTGAAGCATATTATTAAAGAACAACCCCTGCGTTCGCCTATCAATTGAAGCAAAAGTGGTGGCTGTGTATTATTGTTGTGGAAAAGAGCCAAAAAAACGGTCGTTCAGCAGAGGGGCGAAGAGAGAAAATGTCACGCAAAGCAGCAGCAGCAGCAGCAGAACCAGAAAAAGAGTGAAGAAATTACATTTCTCGTCAAAAGCGCGCACTGAAAACACAACAATAAGAGACATTTGAGAAACAATAATGTTTCTACACTGAAATGATGCACAAACAAGTGAGTGTTACGGTGGGGGGCGCAGCCCCGAGGCGTGAGCGAAAATAAAAGACAACAACGAACGAGCTGTAGTTGTAATTCACAGGGGCAGACACCTGCAAGCGCAATGAGAGCAACGCTGATCCTTTCCAGGCCTTCGAACGAACTCAGTCCTCTATCCTGGCTTGAATGTCGTCGGTAATTGGACTCTGGATCCACAGTTGGGACTCTTCTTGCAATCCGCATCCGCTGGCACAATGCAAAGCCTGGACTCATCGTGCCAAGAAGCCGACGTAAGACCCCTTTGCGCCAGTTACCAGTTAGTCGATCAATCTAATAACGAATCCTCTCTATTTTCCTGCGCATTTATATGCAAATAGTTTATCATAAATGACACGCTGAAGAAGTTGAAGGGCTCCAACAACTCTGACCATGCCCCGGGACTAGCTCATGCCGTGGTCCACGGCACGGGCGTACACCAGCAGCAGTTTGTCCAGTACCAGCCAGCCTCCTCCCCAAGTCACCAGCTGCAGTCGCAGCAAACGCAGTCCTACCACCTCCACACGGCGCTCCAGCAGCAACAGCAGTCGTCCCCAGCCGTCACTGTTGGCTTCCCGACGAGCAGTAAATCGTATCTGGAGACCAGCCTGTTGCAAGCCATACCACAGATTCCTGCCCAACCGCCCATCTGCATCTTCGATGACGATGAATCGCCGCCCGATGAGGGAGGGGCCTCAATTGGAGGCTCCCTGGGCATACTCACTGAGCCGACATCGGCCACGCCCACCGGCCTGCCCACAGCGATTGCCCCATCGCCCTCATCATGCTCATCCTCGACAACGACGCTGTCGAACTTCAACTCAATCACGTCGCCCTCGCCAGTAGTTCCTGACTTGTTGCTGTCCACGCCGCCAGGCGTCAACTCCAGCCTAAGCAATAATTCGACTGCCGCAGCTGCAACGACGACGTCGACGACGACCAGTAAGAAACCGGAGAAGAGGCCCGCATCTGCCAATTCAAGCTCCTCCTCTGGGGGCCATCACCTGCACCACCATCACCTGCACCATCAGTCACACAATCACCATGGGGTCCATGGGGCCTCGCCCACGTCATCGCCCAGCAAGAGGCAGAAGTCCAACAGCAACAGCACCAGCAAGGAGTGCAGCTCCTCTAGTCGCAGCTCAGCTTTATCCTCAGCCCCATCCTCCTCGTCGTCGTCGTCAACAGCGCGCGCTGGCGCCGGCGCTGCATCCAACAACAACAATAGCACCTCGTCCACATCGAAGGGTTCCTCGGTGTGCCCACCGGGCAGCACGAAGTTCTTCAATCTACACGAGAAACTCAAGGATCTTTATATGCAGCTGCTAAGCAACGACATCAACAACTTTGCCGAGACAGGGGTAAGCTGGAGTTGCAGCTGCCGCGGCAGCTGTAGGAATGTGGATAATAATCCCTGCATTACATGTATTGTATATTGTTTCGCCCAACTTACAGCTTAAGCAGCGCACACGATCGTTCACGCTGGAGCGGCTGGTGGAGCGGGAGAAACTCAACACGATCGTGGTGAACCTCTATCCTGGCAACAAGGGATACTCGCTGGCCCTGCACTACGATGAGCATGTGGTGCTGAATCCGCAAACGAACGAGTGGTCCGTCAGCGACAGGGACGAGGCGGCCAGCGAGGGAGCAGGAGCAGGAGGCCATAGGAGTCGCACCAAGTCGGCGGCAACGGATGAGAGCCAAGCCAAGGCGGAGTCGAACCCAGCCAAGCACGAGTATGGCCTGGTTGAAGTGCTTCGATGGCCGTACGAGAACGATTTGCTGCTGCAGTGCATCGATCGCGAGATTCTGCCAGAGTTTCTGATGGATCTGCTCTGTGCGGAGACAGTTAGCCTGTCGGATGGGGGAGGAGGAACGCGGATCTATGCCAAGCCGAGCGTGTTCTACGCGGGCTGCGTCATCGCCCAGATCCGCGACTTCCGCCAGACGTTTGCCACCTCAACGAATATCTGTGATATGAAGCACATCCTGCTCAGGCCCACGAACGCCACCCTCTTCGCGGAAGTGCAGCAAATAGGCAGCCAACTGCAGGCGGAGGATAAGCTTGCCCTGGAGAGTCAGTTGGTGCTGGCCACGGCGGAGCCGTTGTGCCTGGAACCGGATCCAAGCATAGGACGGCAGGCCATCAATGCTCAACACCAGCGCCAGCTCTTCAACTCGCACGAGCTGCGCCGCCAGATGAAGAAGTTCACCCAGACTGCCATAAATCGGAAGCGCAAGCTGGACCAGTTCACCCACCACCACGGCCTGGAATTGTGCGACTATCTGTCACGACTGCGCCAGAGGCCCCGGACGGGAAGCAGTAGCACTGGCGGCAACCCCACTCCGGCCACCGCACCCACCAACAATCCTCTGGTGGGCGCCATGCTCTCCTCCTTTACCTCAAAGGTCCCCAGGCGGCCTCACGAAGTGATTCGGCCTATTCGTCCTCCGTGCCTGGAATACCCCGCCAATCTCAAGGTGCCCGAGCATGTCATCAGCGTGGAAAAGTATGCCAAGACCTTCGAGCCGCTCAATGAGTTCAGCGAGGCGTGCAAGGATGGCTGCCAGCCCAATTGTCGCCACAACTTCCAGCCCCAACTGATCGAAGAGTACGTGCTGGAGACTGAGCGGGAAGCCAACGAGGGACGGCGGGCGCTGTACCACATTAAGCTATCCATTTACCAGCGTCCCTCCGATGCGGAATACCTCGGCGAACTGTATGTGGATCGGGACTTTCGCGAGGGGGAGCGCAATGGGGAGTCCTGCCGCTTTGCGCTGGGCACTCGGGTGCATGCCAATCGATACATTCAGCAATTTCGCGAGATCTTCACGGAGGAGGGGCGCAAGGCGGTCAAGATAACGCATTTGATACCGGGACATGTGCCAATTGTCACCCACACGGGGCTGACGAACGAGCAGCGGCTTCTACTGCAGCAGCAGCAGCAACAACAGCAGCAGCAGAGGCAAGCTCAATTGCAGCAGCAGCAGCAACAACAACATCAACAACAGCAGCAACAACAACAACAGCAACAGCCGCAACAACATGTGGTCGTGGTCGGCAGCCATCAGCAGCAACAACAACAACAGCAGCAGCCTCAGCAGCAACAACCTCAACAACAGCCACAACAAATGTCTGCCACTGTGCACCATGTGGCCCTGCCGCGCCAACAAATCACCCAAAAGACACTCAGTCTAGCAGGGGGCAATGTAATCAACGTGCAGCAAAACATACGGCAGCAGCCTCAGCAGCTGCAGCAGCAGCAGCAGCAGCAACAACAACAGCAGCAACAAACGTACAGCGTTGAAGGAACGCAGCAACAGGCAACCACACAACAGATTGTCCCTCAACAGCAGCAGCAACAGCAGCAACACATACAGCTTCAGCAGTTGGCCACCGGAAGCAGCAACTCTACCACAACCACCCACCAAGTAAGCCTGAGCAATGGATCCCTGGTCCTGGTACAACAGCAGCCCCAACAGCAGCAGCAGCAGCAGCTGACCCAAGCTCTGCAACACTCAGGCATCACCATTCAGCCAGCCAGCATTCAACAGCAGCAGCAGCAGGTGAAGGGGCCATCGGTCATTGGCGCCAACTCTGCTCTGCGTGCCCAGCTGAACTCCAATGTGCCAATTTTGGTGAGTACACAATATGATATGCAAAGGATGTCATTGACTATCGCCCATCCATTTCGACAGCAATCGCAGCTGAAGGCTCAGCAGCAGCAGCTAATGCAAAAGCAGCAGCAACAGCAACAACAGACAACTGCCTCCAGTAATAACAATAACAACAATAACAGTAATAACAATATGAAC